ACTGCTCATTTTATAGGCACTTGTTGCTGCCCTGCTGGAGCAGACAAGCTGGGACAGTGCACTTCTTGTCGCTGAGAACATAAGAAAAGATAAGGAGATCTGTTTATGCTGGCTTGAGTTTACGGTCTGTTTTTTTCCAAGCCTGCCTTCACTCACCACTAAAAAGCTGTGCCCAAGTGGTGAGTGAAAAGGGTGCTGTGTACCCAGGCCTGATATTCCTGAAAGTTGAAATGTTGGTCTCAACATGTTGCCATTGGCATTGGTAAGCTGAGACAAGACTGTTCTGGGGAAACAGTACTCTGGGATACTTAAAGCAATGCTGTAACTTCATGAGGAATGCCTGCAGGGCTTCCCTTAGCACCTGGAGAGCAGAGACAAACAGGTGACTGGTTCTGCAGGAATAGTATCTCTGTGTATAGGATTTATAGATACACTGATAGAATATTATGGAATGGACAGGGTTGGAGGTAGGACATCTTTTGCAGACTTCCCTAGTGCCTTGAAGATTTTTAACCTTAGGACATACGGCAAAGCTTGTCTTTTCTCTCAAGGCCACTTTTTAAAATAAATGTAGGTAATGCAATTGGGCCAAAAAAGCAAAAGATTAGTCAGGAACAAACAAAAATATTTTGTGATTATTTTTTTCCCAGTATGAAACAAAGAATGAGAAAGTAATTTGCCATCAAACAAAATGAAAGGAAGCCTTATAAAAGAAGAAAGGAAATAGTAGGGCAATTGGTATCTTCTTTACCTATTAGCTCGATCATTAAGGTCACAGAGAGTGTAAAACATGCAATTCCTTCCTGAACTCTGGAAGTCTCATGCTATATTTACAGGAAAGTTCTCTACCTGTGAGCTTATCAACTGGTTTGAAATACCAGTTTCATCAAATAATGCTACTCTAAATCAAAATTAACATGAGCCGGCTTCAGTGTGCGCTCGCAGCCCGGAAAGCCCAACAGTATCCTGGGCTGCATCAAAAGGAGCATGACCAGCAGGTCAAAGGAGGTGATCCTGCCCCTCTACTCTGCTCTCATGAGACCTCACTTGGAGTATTGTGTGCAGTTCTGGTGTTCTCAACATAAAAAGGACATGGAACTGTTGGAACAAGTCCAGAGGAGGGCCACAAGGATGATCAGGGGACTGGAGCACCTCCCGTATGAAGACAGGCTGAGAAAGTTGGGGCTGTTCAGCTTGGAGAAGGCTGCGTGGAGACCTCATAGCAGCCTTCCAGTATCTGAAGGGGGCCTATAGGGATGCTGGGAGGGACTCTTCATTAGGGACTGTAGTGGTAGGAAATCGGGTAATGGGTTAAAACTTTAACAGGGAAGTTTAGATTGGATATAAGGAAGAAATTCTTTACTGTGAGGGTGGTGAGGCACTGGAATGGGTTGCCCAAGGAAGCTCTGAATGCTCCATCCGTGGCGGTGTTCAAGGCCAGGTTGGACAGAGCCTTGGGTATCACAGTATCACAATATGCTAGAGATTGGAAGGGACCTCAAAAGATCATCTAGTCCAATCCCCCTGCCAGAGCAGGAACACCTAGATAAGGTTACACAGGAACGTGTCCAGGCGGGTTTTGAATGTCTCCAGAGAAGGAGACTCCACAACCTCCCTGGGCAGCCTGTTCCAGTGTTCTGTCACCCTCACTGAGAAGAAGTTTCTTCTCAAGTTTAAGTGGAACCTCTTGTGTTCCAGTTTGTACCCATTGCCCCTTGTCTTATCATTGTTTGCCACTGAGAAGAGCCTGGCTCCATCCTCGTGACACTCCCCCTTTATATATTTATATACACTAATAAGATCACCCCTCAATCTCCTCTTCTCCAAACTATAGAGACCCAGCTCCCTCAGTCTTTCCTCATAAGGGAGATGCTCCACTCCCTTAATCATCTTAGTTGCCCTGCGCTGGACTCTCTCCAGCAGGTCCCTGTCCTTCTTGAACTGAGGAGCCCAGAACTGGACACAATATTCCAGATGAGGTCTCACCAGGGCCGAGTAGAGGGGAAGGAGAACCTCTCTCGACCTACTAACCACCCCCCTTCTAATACAACCCAGGATGCCATTGGCCTTCTTGGCCACAAGGGCACAGTGTCGGCTCATGGTCACCCTGTCGTCCACCAGGACCCCCAGGTCCCTCTCCCCTACACTGCTCTCTAACAGGTCGTTCCCCAATCTATACTGGAACCTGGGGTTGTTCCTGCCCAGATGCAGGACTCTACACTTTCCCTTGTTATATTTCATCAAGTTATTCCCCGCCCAGCTCTCCAGCCTGTCCAGGTCCCTCTGGATGGCAGCACAGCCTTCTGGTGTGTCGGCCACCCCTCCCAGCTTAGTGTCATCAGCAAACTTGCTGATAGTACACTCAATTCCCTCATCTAAATCATTGATGAATATATTAAATAATACTGGTCCCAGTACCGACCCTTGAGGCACTCCACTAGATACAGGCCTCCAACTAGGTTCCGCCCCATAGACTACAACTCTCTGGCTTCTCTCCTTCAGCCAGTTCACAGTCCACCTCACTACCCGATCATCCAGACCACACTTCCTCAATTTAGCTGTGAGGATGCTGTGGGAGACTGTGTCAAATGCTTTGCTGAAGTGACATGGTTTAGTGTGAGGTGTCCCTGCCCATGGCAGGGGGGTTGGAACTAGATGGTCTTAAGGTCCTTTCCAACCCTAACTATTCTATGATTCTGTATATTAACAAACATACCTAGTACAGGTGACTGGAAGCAGATGTCTCACTGAAACAGAACAGTAATTTCTTGCTCTTGCTCCAGTGCTGCTGGCGTTTAAATGCTCTGTATAAACCACAGCACTGTCAGCATGAGAGTCTTCCATCACCCACTGCCACCTTTGGACCCTGTGGCATAGGGAGTAGGGTGTTCTCCTGTCAAGGCTGACCGTGGGGCTTTAGCTTGCCCTAGAGAGAGGAGGGAACTCTCTTGTTTGATAGGAGAGCATCCTAACACCAGGGTTCTGGGTTTAGAGGGGTCAGTACTATTCTACCCTCTGGTTTATGAATTTGTTCCCCAAATTACTCTTTTTTTCCATATAGTGCAGTTATTTCATAATTTCCTTTCCTAACCTAACGAGGCAAAGTTGGGAAAGCTTACGTGTCAGAACACAAGAGAAGTAGTCTCTGCCTCTAGGACTAACACATGACTGCCTTCCCTGTGGGCCACCTGGATATCTGTCATGACAAGAAGCTCAGAAAAAAGAAACAAATTACAGGGATAGCAGGAGTGACCTTCCCTCTCCTGGGAAGTAGAAACATGTGGAGTGTTTCACTCATGCCTCGGGACAGGAGATGAGCAGGGATGTGAGGAGCGTGAGGTCTGAGGAACAGAGTGTTATTTGGGGATAGACAATTATCAAAAGTAATGGAAACAAGCTAAGAAAAGGTTAGATGGAACCTCCAGGAAATCATCTCACTGTGCAAGGCTCTGCAAAACCACCATTTGGGATGTTTGGGCTCAGTGAGGGCAAGGCTCTGAAGACAGGTGTGGGAAGCAGTTCTGTGAAGGCAGAAGGGAGGAGTAAAATAGGATAAATCTTGCATCATCTTTCCATCTCTGTCTTCTCAGATTCTGAACTCTGGTGACAGCTGGTGGTAGGCTCTCTAAAACCATCCCTTTCTTTCTCCATAGTATCAAGGGGTTCACAAAACGTGCTTTGCACTAACATTGGGGAGAAGGATGGAGCTGGACAGTTGCACCTCATTCGAAGAGCTGTTCCCTAAATTCCCCAGCTCCATTGCTCTTCTGTTTCTTCTGGTGAACAGAAGGGTGCAGATACAGCTGAAAGCCTAGATACAGATGTCACCTACACAGCTGCAGTTCTGATTGTAGCAGAGGATATTATTGGGCTTACATCACTGTTTCAAGGTAATTTTTATCTTCTCACAGACTGCAAGCTCCAGGGAAAGCAGTGTAGACAAGGCTTCTTTTCATAGCTAGACATTCTCTGTGCTCGGCTTGTTGCTCTTAGAAGAGTAGATTATTCACAGGAGAGCTAGATGAGGACCATAACACTAGAACAGAGAGCAGATGAGGAGAGGCCTGTACCATCTCTTGAAAGTGCTTTGAAAGGAGCAATGCAAGGCAGTGAAGCAACTTCTCTTATTATCTTGGTGTGTCCTGGGACAGTGCATGTGGTAGGGGAGAGCCCCATGTATTCTTTGTCATGGCACTCTGACTTAAAGGGAGGGGAGAATATTTATTCCCAGTGTATAGGGATGAAACTTCACTCTGCAAAATGGCCAAAGCAATCAGCGAGTGATGGAGTAGCTGCTAAAAAGAAACCTGGCATTTAATTAACTTTTCAAAGTGCTGGTTCAGCAACCTCCATGTTTTACATTTTGAATATTGAACAAGCGTCCCTAATCGGGACTGAATTACTTCAGGGTTTGCTGGGGTGGAGAGCAAAGGAGCTGCCATTTGCCAGTGCATCCCCCCTGCATTATTAACTCCTGTTAACTCAGCCAGATCAACCCTGATTTACTGCAGTGACTGCATATCTGACCTGAACTTGGCCAGCTCAGGTGGGGCTCCTAACCTACAAAGGCAGCCAGATAATTCTCACGTGTGACCAGAGGGAGGAACTGTTGATCTCTTTGGGGTAGGTAGACAAAGCATAGCAGACTCTTCACTCCTTGATGTGCCGACCTGTCTACCCAGGTAAGGCAACTTTTACCTATGGCTAATGGCAGAGTGGATGAAAAAGTATCTGAGAAACTAAAAAAAAAAGGGAATATGGCTCTTGCTGTATCTGGGCAAGGCTGTCTTTTTGGACCCAAATGGTTCTACTTCAGTCTGATGAACTCGGAGACTTTTGAATCACTGGTTTAATGGTCACTCAGAACTCCTCAAATTGTGGTGTGTTATATCAGACCTGGTGCAGGGACTGTTTTACATAATAACAGTGATATAGAGAAAGGTGCAGTTTTAAAATTCTCTCTAGCCTTTTATAAGCATAAGCCTTTCCTTATCTTGCAGGTCAGGAAGAAAACATTCAGAAGAAGTAGAAGAGTAAGTTCCTATTATTGCTGATACTTGTTCCACATCTTTTAATCTGATCTCATGAAGAAGGGACATGCGACACCAAGATCTGGAACTTGGAAAGGGTGTAGTGCCGGACATGAACTTATGTCATGTGTCCTTCAGTGGGGCAAGGTTTTTCATTCTATAGTTCCGTAGACAGGGAGTAGGTGTTAGCTCTGTCACTCCCATATGAGAGAAAGAAGGAAAAGTAGAAAACATCCACCTCCCTCCCAGATGCACCCCAGGCCCTACTGTGTGCAGCCTAGGAGTTTGTCCCACGTGCAAAGCATCTTGCTTAAGCACTCTAAACTGAGGGGTATGGAGGAAGGTCAGTCTGCAGGCTAAATGTACCTGGGGACTCTCCTCTTAACAGGCCATGAGGTTGTGGGGAGGAAGGGGACACAACAAGATGTTTTTCTGGACTTGCAATTGAAATTCATTCTTCCTTGTGTTTTGCTGCAGCCATCGTCTCAGACAGCAGAGCCTGGAGGCATCAGATGATGGAGGAGGTAAGGTATCAACTACTGCAAGAACTGCCTGCATGCATATCTGTTTTCCAGTAAAGTGAGCAAAGGCATCTTGCAGGAAATTGCAAGGAAATGAACTGCCCTGGGGGTAAGCAAATGCAGGAGCTGCTTGTCTCCCCAGCTGCTGAATGAGGGAGAGAGCAAAGGGGATTGAGAGGAGGATGAGGAGTGAACCTGTAGTCTAACTCTGGCTCTTTGTTAACATAGAATGATAAAGCACCTTTGGGAAGAAAGAAAGTGTCAAGGACATACTTTTCTTTGTGATTACCCCTGCGTGGAGAATAGTGGACTGAGGCAAAAAGAGAACTAAAAGAGCAAGAAAAGGTTAAGAACAGGGAAGAAATCACTGCTGTCTCCTAGTTTAGGTGATAGCACGCTCTAATTAAAGTCTCTCTTATGGTTTTATGGTAACATTCTTGTCTTGTTCCCATCAGGACGAGTGCCTGCACCACTCTCCTGGGGTCTCTGTCATGAGGGAATTCTTAATTTAAAAAATCCTCTTGCCGTAACCTAAGATCTAAGATCATAGATCATAAGCTAAACATAGGCACTGGTGGGTAATCCCATCAGATCCCTGTCTGTATAGGCTGCTGTGAAATCTACTGGGCTCCTGATTTAGCACTAGTTTTCTTCATAGTGTATATCACCTGCTCTTCTTGAACTGGATGACCCAGGAGAAATCTTGGGAAAAATCCACAGTATGGATTTCAAGACAAGCACTAGAGAACTGTAGGGAGCCTAGAATTTCATTAACATCTCTAGGAGCTACCTCAGCTTTCAAGGGCTAATATAAAAAGTTGCATCTGTGAAATATCATCAAGCATAAGAAGAATTAACAGGAGTCACAAAGGATTAGACATCAGTATGGTTAATGAGATTAAACGAAGACCCATTATTTGGGTCTTCTAGACAGATTAAGCATTGCGACATATGACCATATGACTGCCAGAATTGGCACCTTTATAGCATTGGCATCTTCAGAATAGATTTAATTTTTCCCTTGGGAAGTTTCTTGGGCTTCTTAAATTTCAGTGTATGTCACTGAGCCTAATAGTCTGTTCTGAACAGCTCTTTGTTTGCATACGTGCTGTCCTTCTTGTTGAACCTTGGTCTTGTATTCAGAGTATAATAACTGTCTTTGCTAACCAGGCATAAAAATGCTTGCCACGTGTTTGCAGCATGTGACTTTTAGCGCTCCAAGACCTTGGGTAATAAGTACAGAATAGAATTGATACGGAATGTGGTATGTAGACATGGCAAGTCCTAATAAGCTTCACTTACTTATCTGTGCCTAACCCAAGGTTAACAGTTGAATTCAGATTGTTGCAAACCAGAATTCAGTTTTGGATTAAACCTCTGTGGTAGAAGAAAGATTGCACTAATCTGATCATGATTCCTACCCAGGCAGTTTCTGGTACAGTCACATACACTGGGTTGTGGATCTAATTTGCATATAGAAAATCTCTAAATGAATCAGTGCATTGCATGCTTGTCATCCTGTTTCTGTGGGGACATTAAGCAAGCTGTTCTGGGAGAGGAGTTTTCCATGTGTGTTCAGCAATTGCAGTGAAGAAGAGTGACATATAAATATGCTCCAGAACCTGAATAAAGTTACTATTATAAATAAGCAGAGAGATACCCCCATGGCAGGGGGGTTGGAGCTAGATGATCTTAAGGTCCTTTCCAACCTTAACTATTCTATGATTCTATGGTACAATAACTGTGCAGTGTAGAAGGAAGGGAGTAGAATGCTGTGGCTGTGCAGTATGTTGAGCTGTATCAGCCTCCCCTTCGCACAGAGCTGCACTTGAGCTTGTGTCCTTAACTGTAACAGTAAAGCTCAGATTCTAAGCATACGAAAATCAAGACATTGGTGTATGGATCCCCAAGGATGGGTCACGGTTATTTTGTGCTGCATAATGTGTTAGCTTGTACACCTTAATATGAACGGGCACAGTTGCGTAATGATTGCTGCTGTCAACCAATACATTTGGATCGCCTTCCTTTAACCTATTAGAAAGCTGAGCTGTACCATTCCATTAACATTGTTTGTCCCCCATCCAACCTTTTCACTAGAAGAATGAAGGACAAAACTATATGCCCTTAAAAAGTTATTCTTGCATATTTGAAATGTGCTCAGCTGTGATCATTTGTACATCCCCAGCTCAGAATTTGCAGTCCAGAAAAGAGAGTGTTACAAAAGCATGGGGTGTAGAAAGAGCCCAGGTGGGCATGTGGAGAATGGAGGGAAGGTTATACACCCAAATGAGATTTTCAGGCTTGATATGCCTTATGTTTTCAAAAATAAAAGTAGAATTCTGTCACAGCTCCTGGCCATTTACCCTGTGGATGAAATGGCATCTGACTCTGGGGAGTTTGGGAGAGAAGGACAGTTACTTCTCATGCTGTGTGGAAAGACTGAAGTAATACAGGAAATTGTAAGTGGGGGCTTACATGGAGCTATCTGCAATTTCAGCCATTCCTTACAGTTGCATAGGGAAACCCAGAAGGTGCAAGTTATCCATAGTGCACAATACAAACCACTGAAATACTAGCATTGAGGTATGTTGGCTCAGGTCATGCTCAGAATTCATTTTCTCTAATCCACATTTCTTCTTCATAAAGGCTAGTCAAGGGCAAGAGAACCATTCCAAAGAGGAGCCAGTTTCGAGTTACAGGAAAGCAAAGACATGGGTTCAACTGAAAGAACCATTTGCTCCTCTAAAACTCCAGGCTGGAAAGACTTGTTTTGAAAAAATGCAGTGTCTCTCCAGAAACAGCTCTGGAATGTCTAGTTGATGGATATTGGGGTTTCCTACAGCATCTGTTGTGAGCTTAGTGCCCATCCTTCTGTACGCACACAGTATGTGCTAGTATGCAGGCACAGCAAATAGGTAACACATCTTTGCTAGGTGGATGTGTGTCCAGCTGAAGCTTGTCATGGGGGGGCCCACGTCCTCTGCATGGTGGGAAACCTGCTTTAGCAGGATTTAATGCATCAAACTTGAGGAATAATAAACCTTCACAAGCAACACAAAAGTGTTTAATTCCTAAAGGACAGGCCTAGTTGAGTCACTTTTGGCCAGAAGCAATTGGGGGCTTAATGCTGTGTATGTAGCAATCTGGACACTCTGAGAGAGAGGAGTTCAAGGGTAATTGCTCAATTTTCTGTCCATGTCAACAGGGAAAAATGGGCAGTAGTGACTAAGCTCTGTATGGTAGGGAAACTGCACGAGGTGAGAGATGGGAGACTATCAGTGGCATTTAAAAAGTGGTATCTGCAGGGTACTGCTTCCTTTTCTGTAGCAGCCAAGAGCTTCTCCTAGGTGCAGACTATTCTTTGCCATGAGGTGGGGAGGAAGACAGAACAATCAAGATCACTTTGAAGGGCTTTCTCCTCCCTTTGGTCCTTTTTCCAGCAGGGCGGTAGAGTCTGCTTTGACTTTGCTTGGGTATTTTATTTGGCTTTATTCTGCTTGCGTGTCACTTTCTGGCATGCAGCTACAAAGGGTTGTTTCCTATTGGGGTGAGAAATACTGGCATTTTCTTTCCCCCCAAATCAGCAAACTGCTTTGTCCTTTTGGCTAAAAGTTTCTTTGTTGTTCCTTTCTTGTCGACTGGTTCTGCACTGCTGAATTGCACTCCCTCAGATGCCTGTCCCTCACTGCATTGCCCTTTGATTTTTTGCCTCAGCACTCTATGTGGGTTTGTTAGCTAAAGTTGTCATCTCTTCCCAGCTATTGCTCCCTGATAGACTGTTCCTCCATCTTCAGAAGTCCCTTCCCCCTTTCTCTCTGTTACACTTGGGATTCATAGCTCCTAGAACAGGGCTTTTCTTGGAGGACTGGGATGTGATATATGATGCTCTGTCTGCAGGAACAACGGTTTGTTATTTTAAAGTATATAGTGTGTTTGAATGAGACAGCTGTTTGAAATGAAAGCCTGACTGCTACACAGACAACCCAAACCTGACCTGCAGGTGAGGAAAGCTGCCAGGAGACAGTCACTAGATCTGTGCCCTCAAGGCAAAACCCCTTCCTGCCTGCTGGGAAGCCTCCTCAAGGAGGCAGAGCTGATGATTAGGGTCATCTCTTTACAATGTCAAACCTCTAGAAGGACTTCCTACCCTTCTGGTGAGTTCCAGCAGCTCCTTTGCATTTGAAGAGCATGGGAGTCCAGGCTCTGTGCACAACAGAGGAAGTGGGCGTATGCTGTGATCCCCACATCTTTATGGGGAGTTATATCTGTCTGTCAGGTGGAAGACAGCCTGCACAGGATATCTGGCACTTGGAATTCACAGCCAAAAATATCTCTTGAGCTGCATGCAAATAGACACCAGTGATGAAATTGCTCTAAACAGAGCTGAGAATAGAGCACAGTGGGTTATTATTGGCTCTACCATTCCTGATGCCAGAATGCCAGTTACTTCACCTAGTGAGCTGCTGTTTTTACAGAACACACCAAGTGCTGGTGGACTTGAAGGAATGAACAGCTGCATTGGCTGAGTGTGAGGGTAAGAGAGTGGGGAATTTGCAGGAGTAGCCAGGGGTACAGCCAGTGGGTACTTCACAGGCTCAGTGGGGAAGTGGTTTGGGGAGAGCTAAGTGGATAAAAAGTTCTGAACAGCCCTGAAATAGAGAGGAAGTGAAAAAGATGGTGTTTTGGAAGTGGTGTGAATGGGCTGAAGGGATGGGCCCGGGGCAGAGAATGAAAGTAACTGCTAAGTTTCTGGGATTCTTCACTGTGACTTTGTGTGTGGGTCTGTCAGCACGGTACAGTTCTCCCCTTGGCGGCTCCTCTAACATGCTGTCTGAAGGCTCTGTGCAAGGTCAGTGAAGGTCAGACTCAGTCCAACTGGATGGCTTCCACTGAGCTGTTGGTCCTGGCCGGTTTGAACTCCTCCAGTAACTGCTGGCATTGTGATCTACAGCCTCTGATGTTGAAGGAGAGCTTCCTCCTGACAGCTACGGGGGGGGTTTTAG